GGGGCGGGGTCCCCTTATAACGTTTGCGTTTCTCGATATAAAAATTCCTATCTCATGCTTTGTACAGATCCCAAATGTCGGGCCCTTAACAACAATAACAGTTTAAAACAGCCATTTTACAGGAAACATTTCTTATAATTATGATAATAGGGTTTTGTTTATTATAACACTTTGGATGAACATGAAGTTAAATGCCTATTTAAAGCTCAGTAATTTATTATACTGCTTAGATAAAATCCAGTGAAATATGAGTAATTTATAGTAATGAACAAGATTAAATTTCATTGAGAATTTAAACCAATGCCAAGAAATAACTGCTTTCTCGAATAAATTAAGAATACGGTATTGAAGTTATTGCTTCTTATTGGTTGCCTTTTTATGCCTTATTTTCTCATTTTATTTTAAATTTATCTCGTGATTTTACATAAAAATTTAGTTCTGGGTCAGTCACTGCAATTATTCATAATGGACAGTGACTTGGCCAGTGTCAGATAGCATATCATGATGAAAGGTTGTCCGTACAAAAATCTGCATTTTCTTTAAATCAACAGTTTACCAACGATTAGGTACCTTTCCGGTAGGTCGTTGGACCCACCGAGGTGCCCGCTGTGCTGAAATGATGTACAAATGTGCACCTGAGGTCTTTTTCAAATTGTAAAGCTCGAAAGTCACCATATGACATTTAAATTGTCGGCGTGACTTAAAAAAATCAACAAACTAAATCCTTTGATTGCATTAACTTTATACCTGGATTTCCTGTTATGTTGTACAGTTCGTAAGATTACAAGAACAGCTACAAAAACAACTACAGCTGCTATCCCAATTGCGTACCAGGGAGTCTCTGCCGGATTAGCTTTTTCACATAATTTACCCAGTAAATTCATCGGCGCATGCGCATTCAAACATCCCAATACCATCCATGCATGTTCCGCCATTTTGGCAACCATAACTTTCACATTCGTTTATATTTTCTTCGCACAAATCTCCGACGGTTCCATTTACACAACGGCAGTTAAAACCGCCATCGTGGTTTTCACACATTGACCCGTGCTTGCATGGAGAACTCGTGCACTCGTCGACGTCATTTTCGCACAAAGTACCAGTAAACCCACATGAACATTGGCATTGAAAGTCATTAATTAGGTCAGTGCATGTTCCATTGTTCATACAAGGAAGACTGGAGCACTCATCCTTGTTTGTCTCGCAAAAACGTCCTAAATAATAAACAATTCATAAATCTGCGTCAAAGTCAAGTACCGTAGTGTTATTGGCTGTGTGTTGTATGATTGATACTTAAGTATTGGACCATCTTAAAATACATGCATATGAAAGCCTAATAGTATCAAATAAAATATAAAAAGGCATAGTAAGTCGAATCAAAAGTCGTAATAATGCAAATCAGAAGTCGTTATATATCGTCAATTTAATTACCATATAAGTACTATTAAAATGGCAAAGTAACGTAAGAAAGGAAGAACAATATTAACCTGAATTTATTGCTGAAGATATATACTGGTAAATATGCCTTGTTCTTATATTTTCGGTGGTTCTCATATTTTCGTGGCGTCCTTTCCGGTCGCGAATGACAGCTCGCGCAATTGATTTTACTATCCGAAAAGCACTCAAGTTTTTGCCGACCCTTGTTTCTATCAAATACTACCGCTAGAATGCGTTTTAAACAAGTAAACTATATAAAATGGAGTTAAATATTTATAATAATGCCCTTAAAATATAGTAAATTTGCAAATATTTTCCCCAAAAAAATAAATAACAGACTTTTTTGTGTTTGAAATTTTTCCGTCCTAAGTATGCCATATTTGTCTACCTTGCGAGATCCACTTGAGTGAACGCTTGAGTTTGTATAATGCGCAACATAAGTTTGTCGCAACATGTTAACCTATGTTCAATTAAAAATCAATAAAGAGCGTCAAATAGACGTTTTTGTCGTTTATTATTTATTATTCCTAGGGTAGTTTAAAGTAAAATCCATGCTTATTTACACTTTATAATTCTTTGGAATCTATTCCTCCATACTTTTAAAAAAAGAAAACAAATTAATATTCCAGATAAAACGAGTGTTTTCCTAATATTTCAACACCCTTTCTTCCGGGAAATCCTCCGAGATCAACATATCTGGTGCCGTTGATCCCGATAATTGTAGGACTGGTCCAAACACCTCCCTTTCTTATGATCAGGAAGAGGTCCTTGTCAATCATGTCCAGACTATGGCAGAACTTTGATACCGATATTCCAACAGCAAGTTGAAGCAGCTGGCAGGAGATATGGCTTATGAAATGTAAGCCAAAGTACACATCAAGCCAATGAGCAACAATTGGTCGTATGGGTTCTTGAACGGCTCTAGAGCATAAAGTCTAGAAAATTAGAAAGCTCGAGAGCAAAGTCTTCTACACCAGAGAAGGTGACCGGTTATTTCAAGAAGCTTTAGGAGGTTCTCAAACAACACAACTTATTGGAAAAACCACAACACATCTACAACCTTGATGAGACCGGCTTGCAGCCAGACCACCGTCCATATAATGTTGTTGCTAATTCAAATTCTAAGTGTCAGGCCATCACTTCACCGAGAAGCTCTACTACAACTCTAATTGGATGTGTGAACGCCCTTTAACAGTCGCTACCTCCTTTCTTTGTTTTCAAGGGGAAACGATTTAACCCATATCTGATGAAAGGCAGCTCTGTTTGCGCTAAGGGGGTCATGTCAGACTCTGGTTGGTCCAATGCTGCTATATTCCAGCAATATTTGGAAGAGCATTTTCTGCCAAATGCCAGACCCTGCCCAGAAGACAAACAGCCAATCATTCTTATCTATGACGGACACAGTTCGCATAAATCCCAAAAACTTATTAATTGGGCTAGGGAAAGAGGACTGATACTGTTTGTCTTGCCAGCTCGTTCCTCGCACCTGCTACAACTACTGGATGGTGCCGTATTTGGGTCCTCCAAGAATAATTATTATTCAGAATGTTTCCAGTTTCATGAGCAGGTATATTGGTCAGATTATCACAAGATATGAGCTTTGCAGTATCGCTTGTAAAGCTTACACCCGAGCTATGTCACCGTCGAACATCCAGTCAGCTTTCCGGAAGACAGGCATATTCCCTATAGACCCGACCGTCGTATCTTTGGAGAAGTAATTTCCTTGTGAAAGCTTTCGAGAGGAAAAACCAGTGCAGAAAGTCAAGTCTTTAAAAGAAGGCAAAGAAAGAGGCCGAATCATTCCTCCTTCAGAAGGAAGAAAATATGTCCAACAATCGCTTGTCATGGCCCTAAAATATAAAGGTCGCAAAAAGACACCCCCAGGCCAGATGCTGGGGGGAGGTAGAACGCTATTTTACTGGACGCCGACTATGTTCACGGAAATTGACCAATATTCACAGCAACGAGCTCAACGTACACATGTTCGCCAAAAAGTTCCACTAAACCCAAGTCAATAAAGTCACGGGCTAACAGTCAAATAGCTTTCAAACCAGTGGTCTTAACCAACCAGAAAACTTACCAACCTACAGTTTTCTCCCTCGGATTCCGAGGACGAAGACGACTTGGTCGCTGAATCTGATGTATGCTGGGCATGTGTAAGAAGCTGGTTGCCGTCGAATGCTTTGCACAATTTGTCTATGCTAAAGATCGTTAATTGGGCTCAGTGATTGGACGCACCTGTCGTTCTGCACTACAGTTAGAGTTGTCAGACGCCATTCCACTTTTCTGTGTCCTCATTTGGCTGTTTAGATATGTTTAGCAGTTCATAAAGTTCATTGTATTTTTTTTATTTCGCAATCCTTTAATGAAGTAAATATATGTTGAATGTCAAAAGATTTTCATATTCTTTGTTAATGCTATTAAAATTATTTTAATTATTTCTTTTCCCATTTTTAACGTATTTTCAACTACATGTAGCAACAATAAAGAACACAAAAAGTATCTTCGCCTAAGAATTCATCACTGAGTCCTATGACTAACTTTAACTGATGTCTCGAACTAACTGAGTGCAGTATAGAATTTGAGCGCCAGCAGCGTTACTACCGAAACGAGGCCATCCAATCAAAATCCCCGAAAATATGAGACAGCTTCCGAGCGACACAGACTACAGATAGTGAAAGTAGAGAGGTTAGGATTTCATAAATAAATGGTTTTATTTCGTATTTTTAACGGTTTCTTTTCGTTTGACATAGTTTTTACTTGCTGTTGATGTTTTTTCTCTTCCATTTATTATTAATCTAAAAACGGTTGCGTAAATTTAAAACGTTAAACACTAATGACAACTTTTTGTTATTTGTCAATATAAGTTGACTGGGTGAATTATAGGTCCATTTTGCTGGATGAAATACAATTACACTGAATTCACATGTATCACATCATTTAGTGAACATGTAATAAACCACAGGAAATTGACATTCTATATGTAAATAATTAAAACATAACGGCAAATATACCCCTCAATACTTTAAATAAACACAAGGAATGCAACAAAATTATTTGTTGACATTTGAGTAAATATTGCGAATTTATTATTATGCAATGCTTTGATTTAAAATATCAGCGGTTGTAAAAGGAATAATTTTGTATTGTGTATCGAAATTGCTGAACTAGTTTGTTAACATTGATTTTCCACGTGTGTAATTAGATAAAATGTGTATAGGCGTTGCATTCCTTGTGTTTATTTATAGTATAGAGAGGTATATGTATAGGACGAGGTCTTTCTGTTTAGGGAAGACCTGGTCACAAATTTCATGTGACACCGAGAGCGCGTAGCGCTCGCTACGCGCTCGAGGTGTTTCATGAAATTCGTGACCAGGTCTTTCCTAAACAGAAAGATCGATGTACGAGGCCGATATCCAACTTACACACCGTCAAACTATTGACCTGAGCAATGGCTGATCCGAAGCATTTGATGTAATGCACAAATAATATTTTTATTATTTACATGACGCATATACGAGGGATGATCAAAAATTAACCGGACTTTGTAAATGATTCTTAACCTGTTAAATGAATTCACATAACAATACACGGAAAATAAATCGGAATCTATCCCCTAAATGATACAAAAAATACCAACAAGAAATATTAACAAAGAAAAAAGTTATGCTGTTATTGGCATGCACATGTAAAGCAATGCGGCGCACGGTATAACTTTAAAATTGACGTTAACGACGTCACAAGCGTATTGTCCTTAACGGAGCAGATTTTTACTCATTCACGGAGTAGGCCAATATGTGGTACAGTCATGTTATTGATGCGGCGGATCCACTGCTTATATATATTTCTGTACAAGTGGGTATCATATTGTATAGTAATAGAATGGATGAAGATAAAGAGCTACTGTAATGACGCAAACTTCCGTTCTTTACTTCTGTAACTTTGAAAAATGACACATGAATTTAACTATATTATGTATTACAAATAATGTAAAATAATGTTGCTGAATTATAATGTATCATACATACAAAAAAATAACAGAATAATACAAAGATGATCAAAATTGTCATTTTTTTAAAATAAATAAAACGCATAGCCAGTTTGAACAGTGACTGTTAAATTGTTGACACAATTTATCCATAAGACTACTGCGTAAAATAAGAAAATAATTGATACAATTGTAAACCAAAAATAAAATACATGTAATAAATGCATTAACTATTGTCATTTTAAAATCCTCAGAGTTGACTGCACCGTCCCGTAGTTACTGTCGAACATCGTTGACAATGCCCGCAGTCAATCGACAGTCATTTTTCAACGTCTTGGCGATTGACGTCACCAACGTCCTTGAAAATGTCTTTTTTTTCTGTCTCTCCCTTACTTGTTTTCTATTTCTCTATTATCCTTTCTTAATCCTTTAAGCTAATCAAAAAATATGCTGTGGCTTTCTGAAACTTTTCCCTTGATAGCCATAATCTTTTTCTACGTTTTAAACAGTTTCTCGTCTTTCATATGACAAATTTTTCCTATTGATCGATTTTCGTGACATTCCGACGACATAGTTTTAATGCGAGTATTTCATTAACATGTGACGTTTGAATTGTGATTTCAAATATAAATATGGTTTAAATGAAGTAATTTTTACTGACAATGTCAAAGATACGGTACATGACGTTTTGGCGTATTTTGAAATCTCAATGTGCCATATTGTGAAATACACGCAGCATAAAGCGCCTGATGTCAAGGCGAATTTACGCACTGCGCCGGGTGTGCGTTA